TTTACTGGATATCTGCAATGTTCATTACGAGATGATTAAAGCTGGCAAAGATCAAATGATCAACCAGTCAAAAGGCAAAATTACAGTTACTATGATCCGAAATTGCAATTGGCAAACAATATTCATTACACCATCACGTAAAGTTTCCAGAAAACGTTAAAAAATGGATTTAAGAAAATCACAAATGCTCTTTTCTTGAATAATTGCTTATTCTGGATTTCTTATCTTTAAGTGTCTGCTAATAGCATTTTTCAAGTGCCACTAGCATAATTGTATATTTGTGAGCCATGACCAGGCTTTACTAACAGCTGATATCCCCTCCATGTCTTTATTTAATAAAACAAATGCTGATAGCAATACCTCCTGCCAATGACTTGTAAAGAATTTATGAAGAGCTTGTACATGGATACTTATTTCATTATTTGCATCATGGTATGTTGCTTCTGAGTTATCAGCGTTTAAAGATATAGATATACTATAGGCATACTATACCCACTGCAATTTGCATTCACGACAGAGTTCAAAACGCTATTGATTCGTTTTAAACGTAGAATTCACGACAATTTCAGTTATGTTTCCATACTGATCTGATTAATTAATAGAGTTGAAAAATTCAAGACACGCACAAAATCGTTATCAATATAACAGAGAACTTTAAAACTCATAGCGATAAGTCTGGATTATTTGAGATATGTCTTAGATGATAGAAACTGATTATTTTGATTAATAATAGTTTGTTCTTTGTGAAAGGATCAGCTTATGTTCGACGAGATGGCGGTACAGTTCTGCACTCTGTAAGTTATGTTAGAGACTCACCAACAGTTAATTTTATTATCCAGCATGGATTGGCAAAATTAGAAATTTATGTACAGATTATGAGATCAAAGAAGACATAAATATAATCAAGTATCACGTAAATATGTATTCATTAATTCTGATAAAGAACATAGAAGAGACGTATCAGTTTTGTTATATTCATAATATTCCTGAATTATAGGGATATCTCTTAATGAACTAGTATAACAAAAATGATTTGCCCGTTCAAATATCCATTACCGATACCTTTGGCTCGAAAAATCATGATCACAGAGAGCCACTGACGAGCGCTCAAGTACAAGCACAAGTACAAATTACAACAGATCGTCTCACCAAATTGATCTAGTACACAAATCAGTATTTTCTAATATGGTGACAATCCTTTAAGAAGGATTGGAACAAGATGGCGGCTACAGATATAATACTCAATATGAATG